CCCTGCCCTTGAAGGGAGGAAAAGGAAGGTAGGTGAGGGCAGCAAGGGTCTGCAGGAGGCAACTGCAGAGCGGAGCAAGAGTTGGGGGGCTAAATCCTCAGTCCTTGGGGGTACACCCCATGAGAAGGGAGAGCAGGGAGCTCCAGCCTCAGAGATGAGTCACCCGGGGTCTGGTGGCAGCAAGGATGAAGCCCAAAAGTGCCACGTGCTGCATGCACACCCTGCCACGAGCACGCCGGCTTGCACACCAGCATGCACTGGGCCCTGAGGTGGGGACACAGCCCAGACGGACTGGCTGGGGGTGCAAAGGGGTGCTGTGACCCCCAGGTTCCTCCAAACAGCCCCTACCTGAGTATCTTGTTGCGGCTGTGTCTGCTCCGCTCCCTCTGACAGCAGTCTAAATAACTGATGCAGATTTCCTGCCAGCAAAGAGAAACAAGCCAGGCTGAGAGCCACTTCCCACCAACCCACAGCAGCACCATTTGTACCAGTCCCTCTCACAGACGGGCAGAAACACAGGGTCTGGCAGCCCCTACGCAGGACGAGGCGTGAATTCCTTAGCCAGGACAACGCAAGAGGCAGGAGGTACAGGGCTGGGGTCCGTGGGGGATGGAGGGGACACAGGGACGCTCTGCCAAGGTGCAATGCCACCCCAGGTTCATCCGGGCCCCGCTGTCTCACCTCTCCTGCTTCGATGTCCTCCAGAGCCGTCAGATGCAGGAGGAAGTTGTTTTCCGGGAAGGATGTCTCAGCATTGGGGATGCAGCTGTGGTTACCTGTGGGGAAGATGCGATGCTGCTGTGACGATGTCTCCAGAGGACGGGGAAGGCAGAGGCAGGGTCAGAGACCCCACACAGCCCACGGGGCTCGTGCCTGCCCTTCTGGATGACCCGGGCACGTAGGAGCCAACTGGGAGGGCCATGGCCTGGCTAAGGATAAGGCAGCACAACGCTGCGGCCACCCCATCAACCTCAGGGACACCAGCATGACACTCTCCATTCATGCTGGGGACTACAGGGTCCAGCAGAGCAGGGTGCAGGGCCAGGGCTCTCCCGTAGACCCACAAAAACCACTGAAAGAGAGCAAACTGTCCTGGATCAACCCCAGGGACGCACAGCACCATCCCCTGCCTCCAGGTGCTGAGGGAAGGACACACACGGCTGTACTTCTGCACCACTTCCCAACAATCCCAGCAGCCGGTCCCCAGCCCCTGCTCGTCCCTGCTCTACTGTTAACGCTGAGGAGTGAAAGACAACAGCTCCAGGTGCTGGGACATCCTCTCCTATGTCCCCATGGCCCGGCCAAGAAAGGCTCCCCTCCCTTAACGGTTTGTTCAGCTCCGTTTTGCTCAGACAAGGATGCAGATGGTCTCTTTACTAACTGCAAACATGGCTCCTGGAGCCCGTATCCCATCCAAATCCATTCAAACCAGGACTGACCACTTCATAGCCAGGTGACATGCCAGGAGACCCTGAGAGAGCAGCCAGGCCCCAGTGCAGCACTCATCCCATCCCAACCCACCCAACACATGGATATGAAGCATAAACCCCCTTCTCCAGAAGCTTTTAGGAAGAGGTGAGCCAGGCTAGCCCAGGATATCCCCCTCCTCACTAGTAATTTTCCTCCCAGTCCTCGTGTTACTTACAGCAGCTCTGGAGCACGTACAGACCTGATCCCTCGCAGTTGAGGAACTCTCCAGACTCTGCAGCACAGAGAGAGGGGGTCAGAGCTTTGCGTGGGACATTCTGGCTCTTCCACACACACAGCTCAGCACGAGCACAAAGGGATATCCATCAACGCTGAACACACCCAGCCAGCGGTGCTTTGGGGGCCGGGTGTTGGGGGGTGGTGTCCAAAACACCTGTCCCTCCCCACTGGGAGGGGATGGAAGATTTGCACCCCCAGTTCTGCAGCTGGACTGTCCTCACACAGCTGCATCAGTCAAGTAAGTGACAAACAGGTCTTTGAACATTCAGCATTGGGGACTTTCCTGCAGACGATCCCTCCTGCTCAGCCCTCCAGCCACCCAGACCTGTCCCAGTTCGCCTGGGCCACGCTGCCCACAAAACTGGACTTGCGCTACCCACGCAGGGAGCCAAAGGCAGCAGGCACGGCTCGCATGGACCAGGGGAAGTGGGATCTCCCAGTCCCCTGTGGGAACCTCTCCTATTCCCTGAATCCTGAGAAAAGTCTCCAGCAGTCTCCTGAAAATGGCACCGTGTCAGAGCCTCACCCTTCTCAATGTCCTTGTAGAGCTGGTCGATGAAGGCGTCCAGCTCCTCTCGCTGCAGCATGGGGAGATCCAGTGCATCACAAGCATGCACCCACTGGCTCAGCGAGCTGTCGGGAAGCAGAGGGACACCGTCACAGCCCTGTTGTGGGACCTTGCAGGGGGGATCTAAGAGTTAAACTCGTGGCTCTGAGTGGTCAAGGTCTGGCAGAGAGACAGGAAAGGATGGGACACAGCCAAGATGAATGGCTGCTTTTAATTTTGCCTTTCCACCCCCTCTTATGTCTGAACCCAGGCATTACCCAGGTCACTGTGGATTTACAGACTGTACATCCCCTCCACGCCACATCTCTGCTGCCCTGCAAGGGGCACCCCGAAAGCCCTGTTACCTGGTTCCTATGCCTTGGCCATTGGTCCCAACGAGGGCAAAGAGGGATCGAAAGCCTTCTGGAGTGAACCACTGCAGAAGGGAGATGAGAAAGCCGCTGAGCCCAGGCCACCCTGCAGCAGCGCCCTGCTCTGCAGGCCCCTCAAA